TGTGTCAGCAAAACGTACAGCTGATTCAGGTTGCCAATATTTTTCTGCAATGATTGAAGAACATCTGTGATAGACGTGCAACCAGTCCAGGGTGCACGCTCACCCAAAAACAGCTCGGCTAATCTGAGGAAAGACAGTCAGGCAGCTGCCAATAACTTTGTAACTTCACTTACAGTGGGTATAAATGTGCATGCAGCTGACACATTTGCTGACAGTTTCATATATTCTCTGCTTAGATGAGAGAGCATAAAAGATTACTGCAGTGATCCTGAGCAGTTTTGAGTATGAATGGAAGATACAGTAAGGGTTAAGGTTGGGCAAGAAGCTGGCATGATTAAGGTTAGGTCTTTAGGAAATTAGTGCCAGTAAGTATAATGTGTTTATTTATTTTTTTAGGTGCCCAGCTCCATCATCTTGCACAAGTGGGTCTGTCCAGTCGGATGAATGGTTACCCAGCAGGAGGCAGGGCTGCTCCGGGCCAGAATGGAGGCTTAGGCTGGAACCACTATCACGATGACAATTTCTCCAGAGCAGAAGCTGAAAAAGATGCAGTGAGTGAATTGCACATTTTTATTTTTTCATTAACAAGTTCATTTAATTTCATTGAAACCTGAAACTAAATGAAATCCCAAACTTTTCATTTAATCATCGAATTATTAAAAACAAACGCACAGTAACTTGATCCTAACAGGAAACCAACTTTATTGCTTTTGAGAAACACCCACAGTTTCAGTTTGGTTTTCTTATAATTTTCTGGTGTTCTTCTGTTTTTGTTACTTGATATTTTTATCTTATCTATTCTCTTCTTTTTTATCACCTGCCCCTGTTGTTCTGTTTGCCCTTTCTGTCCCACCTGCTATTTATGGCCCCCCTGACTGCTCGTCCTCCTCTATCTTCCAGATTCACCGGAGTGGTATCAGGGAGCCCCCGGCCCCCCCGACCCATCTAGATGGTGTGGGTTATCTGACAGCCCCCCCACCTCTGGATACTTCTCCTCCCACTCATTCCTCTGCCTCCTTGATCAAGGCCATCCGGGAGGAGCTTCTGCGGCTCTCGCAGAAGCAGGCGGCCGTGCCCAGCTACCACAGCTGAAGTCCCGGCTTCTAGTGTCCAGCTCTAACCAGTCATGTCACTGACCCTGCCTGCTTGCTTCACCTAATCTGACAGTGCTTCCCATGGAAGTCCATTAAGCTGTACAGCAGAGAGATAGTCCTGCTAAAGTAGAGAGGTTTGCCCCTGAGAAACTGCATCACAGGATGGCTGATAAAGACTAAGATCAGCTGGAGTAGAGTACAGCTGACCAGAGATGACGTGCCCGTGTTTCTTTCCTGTTCTTTACCGTGGACCAGGGAGCGCTAATGTCACGTACTGTGGACGTCGGACTTGATTTCGCTGCATTTCCTCAGACTCTGTGTCATAGTTTCAACTTTATGTCGCCTTCACAAACAGAAATAGTGTCAGACTGAAGTCACAATGTCTTTTTACATCACGTAACCTGATGTATTTCTTCTTTTTGATGCAGACCCCTAACTTCCTTTCCACCATCAGGTGCTTCCTGTCTTCTGCCATGATGAGCCATGTTATGCCTTGACACTGTGATACAGTTCACGTGACCATACCTGCTGTTAGAGCCTACAGTGAGAGTTCACAGCCAGCAAGCCAGTTCAGACAGCAGGCAAAAAAGGGGGCATCCATACACAGTAATAACACTCATTAATGCTACCTATTCTGTCCTTACTTACAACAGTAAAACAGTGTTCGACCTCTCGGCTTACAATATATACTTTTTCATGTTAAAGTGCTGTTTTGGTTTTTTTTAAATTCGTGTTGAGAAGCTACTTGTTAAGCAAACAGGAGAAGAAATCAGCCTTTAAACAGATCAAACCGTTTCTGAGCAAGTTTTAAAGACGCAGGCACAGATGTGGTACAAATAATAAAAGGTGACATACTTGATGATTATGGTCAATATTTAATGTATGTATTCATTATGTGGTTATTTGATGCACTGTATGCAGACGACTTGGTACGGCTCAGGTTTTTCATTAAGAGATTCCTTACGGACAAATCCGTAAAAAGACACTTTAAAAGGTCACATGGAAGAAGTGTCAATTAGGGAAAGTCACAGACACCAGTGTTCTGTTTGAGCTCATTTCTGCGTTGAATACACATGGATGTCTTTTTCATGCAGTATTGGAAGTTTGATTTGCCTTTTTGTTAGCACAGGAAGGGAAGACGTGTACTGTATTTCATTAAGAGTTTACTTCAACTACTCATTTTTACATGCTTTTTAAATAGATTTGGATCATTTAATTGTGTCCACCTGGCTCTTAGTCATCATGCTGGTTAGAAGTCATTCCAGGTCTTTTCCACAGGATGTGGCGCGATGTTTCGGAGGCCTAAAATTTTAATTCATTCGATTAAAATAAAAGAGGAACTGTGGGGTTTTTATAGCAGGACTTGAAGATGTGTTTTTGCAGTTTGTGCCTGCACAAGCCTCGACTTCCAGGTGATTTTACTGATGTGGCCACGGTGTTCTTCTCATGCCATGTTTCGTGTCCATGTGACGTGCCTTCTGAATTGATTAAGCACCAGACTGTCTACTATTACGCTCCCAACTCTAACACAGAATTATTTAAAAGCATCATTATTCCAACATGGCTGTTTGTCAGTGGATGTAAGGGCAGCTGAACTGTAAACGAATCGATGGAACATCAGGTAACAGTGACACTGTAGCTTTGTTGTCCATTACATGTTCGTGGTTTATCCATCTCACACTGTACGCCTCCATCTGCTGGTCCTGTACTGTAACTACACCCTTGTATTCATCTTCAGTTGCTTTTTGTTGTTGTTGTTGTTGTTGTTGTTTATTTCCAGTCCTTTTCTACGTGTTCTGCTATGTAAAAACGATTCGTTGGCTGGCCCAACTTTTCCATTTGCATGTTTAATTGTTGTATTTCTTTGGCTTGGTTTTGAGCATGCTATTTCAGAATTTGTGAAATACAAAGTAAGCTGTAACTTGAGCTGCCTTTTAAATAAAGGAAAATAACAAAAGGGAAAATAACTCAAAATTTAATTTTGCTTTGGTTTCATTTGAGCAATCATAACATCTGACGTCATTCATCCAAAACGTCACATGCTTACAGGTGTTGTAGTTACACCAGAAAACCACAGGGTGTCAGCACATCACAGGAAAACTAGCTGCGCTAAAAGGACAAATCGCGCTCCCCCGCTGCACGTGACGTAACCAGTTCCCATGGATGATTCTAGGCGTCTCTGAAAGCAGGTCAGTCAGTGGGCTCTTTACGTCTGTTTGAAGAATTGTGAACATGCAACAGATGTTTATCATACAGCAGAGTCTGTTTGGATCAGTGATGCTTCCACTAGCCTTTGGGTGAGATGAAATTTTCTAACCACCAATATCTGGAAAATATGAACATAGAAATACACACGAATTAAATGAATCAATCGAGATGCACCGGTGACTGTTACACGTTTATATTTCTCTTAAAATAACCTCCAGCTCCTCGTTCACTGACTCGTATCTCCATCACAGCTTCTAAAGCCAGTGAGTGAGGCATCTAAATGTTCCGTAAATCTCCTGATCTGTCTCTACGGGGGTTGACTTTGCACGACTCAGCAGGTATTTGACAGCACACTCCTGAGTGGTCAATATTTACAGTCCATGCGCACATTTGGTTATTTTTATGGCTCCAAAACGGCAGCAAATTCAT